TAGTCCAAAATCCGATGTCTTCAAAAAATATTTCAAAAAAAGTTTGGATGCTCAAGGAATTTCTTTTAAGGCAACTTGCAATCATCGTCCAAAGGAATATGTATTTAAGAAAGGAAGTGGCTATAGCACATTGTAAAAGCACTTGATGTCAAAATATCCACAAGAGACTAACAATGGCGAAACTCAGACGCAAATCGATTTTGGTACCTCTTCTAATTCTCCTTTATTAGATATAGTGATCAAATTAATAAACTTGAGATGGCTAAAATGATAGCTTATGAGAATTTACCATTGAATTTTGGTGAAAAGGTTGGTTTTACAAAATATTGTCAAAAAGCTTTACAACCTCAACATAAATGTATGCCTAGACAACCATCACCCTTGAATTGAAAAACATTTGAAAAATGAAAAAAAACAAGTTAGTTGTTTTCTTTCTCAAAATTAGATTGTAGTGTGTCAATATGTTTGGATATTTGCGGTGATTATTTGCAAGAACATCATTATATGGGAATCACATGTCATTGGATTGATAATAATTGGAAGTTACAAAAAAGAGTACTTGCTCTTCGAATGTTTGATGAAAATCATACTGCGGAAAATATCTATAGATTAATGAATGTTATTTTAGATGAATATAGTTTGAGTAGAAAAAAAAAAGAAAAAATATATAGTTTGAGTAAAAAAACGAATCAATTGGATTTGATAATGCTTCTGCGAACACCAAATCTATAAAAAGAATTACAACAACTTTGTGAACCAACTCTAGGTGGTAAATTTTTTCATATTAGGAGTGCTTGTCATATACTAAATCTAGCTATTAAGGATGGCTTAAAAACACTTGAAACACATATTAAATCTATCAAACGAGCTATTTCTTTTTTAATGTCACGCCCAACTGTAAATAAAGAGTGGGCAAGATTTTGCATATCAAATGGAAGAAAGCCAAAAAAATTTAAATATGATGTTTCTCATCGTTGGAATTCCAATAATGTATCTTCAAAACTCTTCAAAATATAGCAATTTTTTATTTAGTTTTTTTATGAATAATTATGAAGAGTATATTTTACATCCAAGTAATTGGTCTGTTTGTTTAAACATGCTTAAAGTTTTGAAAATTTTTAAAAGTGCTACATGTGTTTTGTCTGGTGTTTATTATCCCACATCTCATTTGTTTTTACAACAGGCTTGTGATTTAATACATGTTTTGACTCAATGATCCAATTTTAGGACATAGTATAGTTGAAACGATGAACAATGGCTTAATTAATATGAAAAAATTCCACCCGTATATTTGATTTCTATGATGCTTGATCCTCCATTAAATACGAAGGCATGGAATCTTATTTTAATGACTATTATGATATGATAAATAAATTTTATTTATACAATAGTATTAATAAAATATGTGATGCATCTAATTACATGAAGGAAGCTAATCTTGCTATTTCATTATATAATGAATTTTATAATAATTTTGGCCACATATTTGTTAACACTAATTGTCATAAAAATAATAATACCCACCACATTATTATAGATTCTGATAGTGATGATGATCTTTCTCATTCAGAAAGAAAGTACCATTCCTTAAAAAGGCAAAAAGGTGGATGTAATTCTGAATTTGATTTATTTTTAACCACAACTTTTGAGTCTCCTAGTGACAGCCACAAAAATTTCAATGTGCTAGAATGGTGGAAGAAAAAGTTAGAAACTTATCCGATTCTTTCTCTTATGGTCAAACAAATTCTTGCTACCCTAGCATCGACGGCTGTAGTTGAACAACTATTTAGTGCAAGTTGAATTATTTTAGATGAGACACGATCTTCTTTAAGTCCAGAGTCTTTGGAAGTTCAGACATTAGTTGCGGATTGGACCAAGGCAGAGTATCCAGATCAAGAACTTCAAATTGCCGAAGATATGGACACCACTGATGTTAGTAGTATAAGTTATTCACCAAGTGATAATCTCGAAGGAAATTTTGGTGAAGATGATGATAACGACCTCGACTAGTCAAAATGGGCTTCTGTAACTTATGTTATTCATCATTTTTTATGCTTTATTTATGTTTTGCTTCTTTTTTTTTTCTCCCGATCTCTTACGAACTTAAACATCGGAGTGCTAACATTTATTTTCCAGGCCTCAAGTTACCTTTACATTCGCCGGTCGACATCAACAATATTTTAATTGGAATTGACAAGTTTTGATTTTTTTAAAAAAAAAAATTACATTTTCAGTTATAGTTTTCAAAAGTGAATGTAATATGCTTTTGTAATGCTCCAATTTATCATGGTTTTTGTTGTATAGAAATTAGGCATAGTATAATATAAATCATCTTTTGAGTTAAAGTGGTTTTGCTTTAATTTTCTTTATGAAATTTGTTTAAAATTATTTTAATTATTAATTAAAACCTAAATAGAATCAAAAGTTCAAATAAAACCATAATTATAATCGAAACCAAAATTGAAACCACAACCGAAACCGAAACCGTAATCGATACTAAAACCGAAACCAAAACCATCTTGAACCGTAACCGTTTAAAACCGTCTTTGATATGGTTCGGTTATAGTTCCATCTATCTTGGAACCATGAACTGGCGATTCTAGAACCGTAACCGGTGGTTCTAAGACCTACGTTAGGGCTAGCTGGAATGTCATAATTGCAGTTCTGAAATGAATCATGAAGAATACAGGCTATTTGAGCCCAATGAATCATGTTTGACTTGAGTTCAAAATTGTCAGCCTCTACATCAGGAAAAAACCAATGGTGAGTAAACCTCCTCCTATTGAGGGATGAAGTAATCTCTCAACAGCCAGGTTGAGCTCACTGAATTTCAGTTCCACCATTGTTCTTGACTTCTTCTTCAGCTAAGGCTTCTATGGTATCAGAAAACTCCTCCTTGGCTTCAACAGCTGCATGCTGTCATCTGAGATGTCTGATTCTCCTGGAAATGGCTTTAATTTCAGGGTCAAAGAGGAATTACTCAGGGGGATTACTCCTTGTCGTACACCAAAAATCGAGAACAGATATGCAACAAGTGACAAAAACGAAAGGGGTTTGATTTTTCAGATATCAGAAAAAAAAAGTATGAACATGATGAACAGTAACCAATTTTCAATGATATTTTACGCCATCCTTGGCAGACCACAAAAAAAAAAACTGCTTAAAAATTATAGAAAGTGATAAGAACGGTCAATCCCACAGAGACGGAAAATATCATATGAAAATTGGGATCCAGTGCAAGTTATGCAATGTACGAACAGAATTAAGACCGTGGCAAGTGAGTTTGTGACTTAACATAGTGGAAGAAGCCTAGGGTCGTCATCCTCTCTACTCTATATGCATATGTTTTGATTTAATTGCTCTCTTTGTATTATGAAACTGTGTTCAATCAGGCACAATTACACTGTAAGGTCACTCATAATTGTTCCACACACTAGTCCTAGTAGCAACAAGCCCACTAACTCACTTTGTTAACTCTGGAATACCACTAAACTATTAAGCTCCTAAGCCCTTATGATTGCCTCGTGCCAAACAACTAACTCTTGATGTTGTTTGAAACCTTGGGCTATTACCCCCTTGTAACCAGTTAATCTTAGACGTTCTAAGTTAAGTTTACCCTAACGAGATTTCCCTAACATGCAAGCACAATTAGTTAAGTGGCCAATTCATCTAAAAGGATAATAAAAACTCTAAAATTACGCACACAAATAAAACATACTCATATGGAGTAGAGGGATCAGACCCTAGAAAGGAGTTTAGCTACACATGATGAAAAGCTTAAACACAAGAGAATCAAAGTGCAAAAGCTTCCACTTGGTTACAATAGAAAGGTGAAAAACAGGGGAAGAACAAAGTCAAGGAGTGTGGTAAAGTTCAGCTACCTTCGCCAAGTCAGCTTGTAACTTCCCCAATGGACACCCCTGAGTCTACTTTCCAGACTTATGCTCTGTTTCTAATCTAACTGAAACTAAGTTAACTCTCACATCTATTATCCTAATTCTTGTTGCATTCTTCTTCTATTGCTACTAGTTTATATAGCGGGTGGGAGAGTAATCTTGCTTAGCCGAGTTGGTCTCCTCTTTACCCGACGGGTTTAAGCAAAAGAGAGGAAACTCATACTTCTTCACCTTCCCCCCTTACCTCTAATCACCTTTAGGGTTGATTTTGGTTGAATTAATCAGGTTTAAGGCACATCAATCTCTCCCCTTGTCAGCAGCATCACTTCATCACCTTGCCTTCCTTTCCTTAGCCTTGAAGTCTCGGTTCAATCTTTTCCAGCACCACTTCCCACCGGATTCAACCTCATCTTGGTCTTTGCACAGCAGGTCCAACCATACCTTTTTCAATTGCACTCAAAACTTCACAATTTGCCATATTTTGCCTACTTTTTTACGAATTTTATAATTGAGTCCCTGGATCACCAAAAGCCACCAAATTAACCTATAAATATAATATCCTTACCTAATTGACCTAAAACCTAACTACAAAGAGGCAAATTATGTGTCTAAAAATATGCATAGATTAACACTCATCACAAGGCTTTAGCCCATTGGAAAAATAAGAAAAGATCCAAACTCGTTACAATATACCACTACCTATTTGTGTCCAACATCTGATTATAACACCATGTTATCATGAAATCCACACAAAAAAAAAAGGCATTTTAGTATGAAAGAACAAAGAAGCCTGTATGTTCATGAAATCTAGCAAAAGCCACAAAGGGAAAACCAAAACACTCCAGGACACAAACAGGAGGAGGGGCAGAGTTTATAGTAACAATTCATTAAACAAAGGGCCAAAAAGGCAGTAGTCAAACCACCAACTTATGGAGGTAGCAAAATCATTTCAAGACTTTTAACCCATGCAACATACCAACTAATGGAGATAGCAAAAACGTTTCAACACTTGCAACATTTTCTCAGGGCTAACACACAACATATCTTAAAACTAAAAAACCCTTATAACAAAGAATTTACTAAAAAAGAAATATACAAAAACAATCAATCGTGGCTTACTGGGGTCTCATCATCCTCAACCACGTTTTCCATAAACTCTTGTTTCAAATCTACAGCCAGTTTCTCGATGTAAACAGGACCCCACCACTCTATCTCTTCTGTTCGTTCCAGCTTATACTTTAAAATTTCCTGCGAATATTGACATGTGATAGTTTAATAGTATAAAGGGGGAAAACAAGAAAAAAGAAAACCATCTTCAAATACCTTTCACATCATCTAATATAAAAATACCTTTGGACCTTCTGATAAATGGACTGCTAAAGCAAACAAAATTCCGCCAAATCACTCTGCACAAAGATTGGAGATCACTTCATCATAATTATCAAGAAATAGAAACAACATTTTACTGGCATATAATATAATATGATGATATGCTCACTTCCGAGTAACCCAACCGAACAAAGTCATGGTATCTGTATTTCATCTCGACGTAGTGATTAGCATACTTCTTGACAAACTTAGCACTTGTCATTGTATTCAATGAATCTCTGATATTTACCCTCATTTTTTCAAAAACGAGTTCAGTCAAAGGTGGAGGTGCAGCAGCCATGACTGTTCACATACAGCAAAAAAAAAAACAACTTTGATTTTATCACTCAATACAAATAATACAAAGAGGAAGAAGAAACGGAAAACAATACTACAAAAAAACCAAAAGGAAAATGGAAGACCCACTATTCCCTTTTTTGATAAACGCAAGACCCCCACTATGACTCACCGGAGAGAAGAGGAGAAGACTGTCAAAAATGGAATGGCAATGCTTTGATACCCACGGCATCACCTTTATATTTTATTTCTTTTTACTTTTTTCTTTTTTCTGTTTTAGTGTTAGAAAATTGGCAGTCGTCCACGTAAACCTCCCTCCATTCATATCCGTTGTTCTTCGCTTCTTCTCCTTTCCATTGATAGCCTGTATGTTACGCTCATTGTTGTAGTATTTATTTTTTTGACAGAAAATCATAGTATTGATGATTGTGGTTTTTTTTTTTTTTTTTGGACTGGGTAATAAATGTAATAATTGTAGTAATAGTAACAACATTTTATGGGGGTGAAAGGTAAGCCTGTGACTTCAAAAAAATACTATTTTGGAAATATAAGTTAATTTTACTCCATAGGTCGCATTAAATAGTTTTGTTACTAATATTTTTCAAAATAGTTGTTTGTAGTTAACCCACCATCACCATCACCATCACCTTTTCAATAATAACAACAACAACAACAATAATATAACTACATCGTTCATTTAGACTTGACTATTAATAACTTTTCCATTCTATCAAATTATTATAATTGAAAAAGCCCATTTGATGTTCTGCAAGTACATACCATCATATTTGCATTATATTTTTCCAGCGTTAAACTGCTAATCTCATCACAAATAGTTTTATACTCGCAGTGATTTTACTTATGAGCGAACCCACCTGCAAAATGGTTTTTTTACTGGCGACGTGTATAATCGTGGTGACCTTTGGCATCGTTGGGAATTTATTTCTAGGGTACCCTTCTCTCAACAAGATTCAACACACTGAGTTTGACAATATACAAAACTCGACCTTTTTCTTTCAAATAGAACTTTATTTTTTTCATACTTAGACCTTCGGAGTTAAAGAGGCCAAACATCGTACTACTATTATCATTCCTAATGATCCACAAACCATCTCTGTTGATTTAATGCATAAATCAACGAGTTTAAAGTTATGCCTACATCTCACTACCACAAGTGTCTAGGGACTAATCCAATCATAGAAAATGTATCACGGTGTGCTAGCCGTGACTAAACACACAGGGTAAACCGCTGAAGTTGAAATAGCAAAAGTCAACTTTTATGTCCATTTTGATTCAATGATAAAGTCAAAAAATATTTTTGAATAATTTACATATAGGTATTAATGAGATAGATATTTTTAATAATTTACATTAAAGTATTAATGAGATCATGCTGAGACTCAAAGCGGAAGTAGAAGTTTCATTCTGAAAAGGAATATCAGTCTTCTAAGTTCTAATGATAAAGTTTGAAAAACTTTAGGATTAAATAACAGTAGAGAAACAATAAAAAGAGTTATAGAGTTATCCAAACTCCATAAAATCAACATGCTTTTCTTTCTTTTTTTTTATTTTAAACGTTGAGGTTATATATTATAGCTTGTGATAAACGTTACTAATAAATAAACAACTTTTTTCTACATGGTAGAGCTATGCGCTGGAGTTGCTTGATTATTTCTCTGAATGAATTTGAATTTAAATAAATTTGTTTCGGAAGAGCTTAATTGGTGAGTTGATTATAGGGGTCTCTCTATCTTCCTCTTTCTTTAAACTCAAAAACAACAAGTTTCATGTTCCTCCAAATTGTTTCATTAGATAAATACAAGAGAAACTATAAAAAGGTTATCCTATAGACCACATTTGGGTCTCAAAACCACCTACATTGTTTGTAAAGCTACGCTCGAGTATCAAAACCACCCACCTTGTGTTTTCCTAGTAATGTCCCATACTCGTCATCTCATAACCACATAAATACCTCACGTGAATTGGTCCAATGGAATGATAATCTTTGTCCACAGCTTTATCTATCAATTTTCTTACACCTCTGACAACTTCATCAATAGACATGCAACTTTAATGCATTTTTTTTCTAGAATGCTGTCAAATTCTTCTAATTATCCAAAACCAATTGAAACTCCCACAGGCTGAGTTTACCTCCCGGACCTAGTTATGAAATACAAATGTGGATCTCTCTTTGTCGTGTCATAACTGGCCTCCTCTCCAAGAATCAACCTCATTTCAGCATATGATACTAGATTTTTATTACAGTCATTCCTTCTGTGTTTGAGGTATTCGTGCGAATCTTCGACACATTTAAATAAATCATGTCTACCACATCTCCGGAGGCGGAGTATATAACGCAATAGAATATGGGCGGATATGTACTTGTACAACGTGGTATATTGGGTAGCTACTTTAAACAGGTAAAATGTGGTATGGGGTTATTTAGTGCTTGCACAATGTAAATGGGCAGATTTTTCTTTGCATTGTTTATTTCTTATTTTTAATGAAAAATTGAAACTACGTCATTTTGAGTTTTTATTATAGGCAAAAAATTAAATGTGGTGCAGCCGTCACGAGTCCTTTCTGGTAGCTGCGTTAAATAGGCTAAGAAAAAGGGAATCCTCTCTCAGAATGAACAAAGTAAAAGTAAGTTTCTCCTCAAAATTTTACAACCCATTAATGGATGTGTTTTGGAGATTTATCTATATATATATATATATATATATTAATAAATCAAAACCAATTTCTAGAACGAATCACACATGTCAAAACCACGTTAATCTGTTTCCCGCCCAAATATTTTCGTGTAATAACATAAAACCACATAGTTAATATATCAAAAAAATTATTTAGAAAATGCAAATTATTTAAATCTTTTCGAATCATAAAATCAAATTATGTAATTAATACCAGAAATACCATGCACTAATTACACATTAATATTAATATCTATCAAATTAAATCATATACTAAACGTTGACCACTAGTCAAATCATGTTTGATCTCAAATAATCACACATTAATGTCGCAATCATACATATTATTGCACTTGGATCTTAGAAAAATCAAGCAATATGGCCAGTTTGATTGAAAAAGATGCAAGGACATATGTCACATTAATATGTACCAGTAAATAAGGATTTACATAATATAGTTTTCATATTCTTTTACTAGATGGTAAAATCATTATATATATATTAAAAGAAAGAAAGATAATCGACACGTGTAGCCCATTCAGGCCATCAATAGTTTCAATGACAGATGTTATTATTTCATTGGATGGTCATTAATCAGTAAAAAGTAATAGTCAAACTGTCATTCATTAAAATTACTTTTTAAGTATATTTACTTAGATTACTTTAATTATTTCAATATACAGTATCAAAATAATTATTAACTATGGAAACAAAAGAAAAAATAAACAAAAAATCCTATCGATCCCGGAAAGAAAAATGAAACGATTGAACGGCAGAACCTCACACTGTGTTCCGATCTCAAACACTCTGATTCCGGTATGGATAGAGTGAATTGAGATATGGGTTTCGTGGAACTCATCACGAGGATCATTTCTGTGTGAAACTAAATAGTTTTTTCTTTTTTTTCACCGAATCATATAATTAGAATTTTTCGCCATGTCTATTTAGATAAGCTAAAAAAAAATTAGAGAAATCTATGTAATAATTATGAAACATCAAAATTCACATTCTCAAGTGTATTTTATACATGCGCAATCCTATTTCGAGAATCATGAATTTCTTTTCCATGATTTCTATGATTGAGCTTTAAAAGAGAAACATTCATCATTATCACCATTTGAACGCTTTCTCAAAAATTAAAATTAAGGTTCTTCAATGGATCTCTCATCAAGTTTAAAAAGGAAAAATAAATTTTATGTTTAAATTTATTTAAAAAATTAATGGGTCATTAAGGAAAGAATTAAATTGGTCATTTAACAATGTGATACATTAAAATGAGGATAAAATTAGAATTAACAATGTGTAAAACACAAAAAATTGATTTTATGCCCTTGAAAGGAATTCTGAAAGTTTAACACCCTTATTAGGAATATCAAAACTTATATGTCCTTAATAAGAACTTTCCCATTATATAATTGGTTGTAATAATTTCATAATAAATTAATGACAACAAATAAATTATATAAAGATATTTTTATTATATTTGATAATTTGGAAATATGGAACGATCACATAGTACCGTTTCTTTTTTTATATATATAGATAGGCAATTTGATTTAACTTTCTTTTTCTAGGAAGAAAAAAAATCTTAACTTTAGTGGATTACAATTTATACTCGATCTGGATTGATTTCTTTCTTCGGGATTTATCATGTGTTGTCATTCTATTTTGTAAATTAATCATCATCTTTGAGTTCGTAAAAAAGAAACATGATACCGAATTATTGGGTTGATACTAACCAACATTAAGTAATTTTCTACACCGATCAAATACTTAATATTGCCATTCCTTTAGCTGCTGAGTGGAGAGTCTTTATCTCAAACGAAAGATGTTAATAGTATTGTCTAGCTCCTTGACATTTCAATTATGATGATGACCCTGTACCAAAAAAAAAAAGGAATTATGATGATGACCAAATTTAATAGAATAGTTCATATATCTTTGATATGCTTATATTTTACCTATTTATTATACCCCTAATTTGTTATTTTTGCAATATATTTTGAGTACACATATGTTATTTATATGATTTTATCTTTATTTGTAGGTTGTGTACTCAAATGGAAGAATTGTTGAGATTTTGGACTAAATTGAAAAGAAAAAGCAACTCAAAGGGAGAATTGAAGATTTGATAAATTGACAAGGAAGAAATTGAAGTACTTGAAGAATTGGAGGAGTTTTGATTTAAATTGGCTTGAAAAGAGATAACTTTCTTATTCCTGAAGAATTAGGGTTTGATGAAAGCCTATAAAAGTAGGATTAGGATTTCATTTTTAGGACAGAACTTGACCGTCCTTCACAAAATCCT